TATAATTCTCTATCCCTTTCTCTTCTCTCTGTAAAAAAAATCAATAAAATCTATTATATATATATAAAAGACAGAGAGAACAGAGAGCAGGCACCTAAGCAGAAGTCACAGTCTTTTCTTAAACAAATCTCAGAAGTTACAGCTCAGAACTTCTGCAATTTCTTCGAAGTGAGTCAAAAAGTTCCGTTGAGCCCGGCCGGCATGACTCAGTGGTTGAGTGTTGACCTAAGAACCAGGAGGTTAGAGTTTGATTCTGGGTCAGGGCACATGCCTGGGTTGCAGGCTTGATCCCCAGTGTGGGCATGTAGGAGACAGCTAATCAATGGTTCTCTCTCACCATTGTTGTTTCTATTTCTCTCTCCTTCTCTCTTCCTCTCTGAAATCAATAAGAACATTAAAAAAAAAAAAAAAAAAAAGTTGAGCTAAGCCCTAGCTGGTTTGGCCATATGGGTAGAGCATAGCTTTGGACTGACGGGTCCCAGGTTCGATTCCAGTCAAGGGCATGAACCTTGGTTGCAGGCTCGATCAGGGCCCATGTGGGTGGCAACCAATCAAGGCATCTCTCTCACATTGATGTTTTCCTCTCTGTGTCTCTCCCCCTCTCCCTCCCATCTTTTCTAAAAATGGAAAAATATCCTCAGGTGGGGATTGACAACTCACTCAAAGAGAGTGTCATTCTGCACAAAATAAATAAATAAATAAAAATTAAAATTAAAAATCCAGTTAAAACTCAAGAGGAGGTGCCTGGTTCCCCAAACACTTGTGATGGAAGGAGCGAGCGAGTGGACCTTTTCTAAGCTGCTCTCGGCCGCCGCTTCCTCTCACTGCTGGGCCTTCTTTTTGCTGGTCTCCACGTTGGCTCTGGAACCGAGGGCAGTGTCCTCCGTGTAAGTTTCTCCCCCTTCCGTCTGTTCCTCTGCTCTCTGCCCTCACCGGAAAGCTGCCTCCTTCTCCCCGGAGAAAACCACACCACAGGCGGGACCTCCCTCCAGGCCCCTCTCCTGTCCCACCCGCCTTGAGGGCACCAGGCACCTCTCACTGGGGTTGGAGGAGGCCCTGCCTCGGCCTCAGAGGTTCTTTCACGCCCCCGACCTGGGGCTCCTATGGCCAATCACTCATTCCCTCTGGACCTTAAATGTCTCCCATTCCTTTCATGGAAACCTGCTGCTGATACCCGCATCTTAGACACAATGAAGGACTACACTTTATACCAACATAACCTTCCCCTCCTGCTCGCCGCCCTATTCCCTCCCCACCCACTCCCCTTCCCTTCATCAAACATCTTCGAAGGGCTTTCTTTCTCCGATTGACTCCCTCTCCCAGGTCCTGGCCTCACACTCAGTCATCTGGCTTCTCCCATCCCTGCACAGACTCTTACAAATGGCATCTGTGACCCTGAATGGGGAGCGTCTTTTCTGTCCTCATGGTCACTGGCCTCTCTAAGGTGACCTGCAGACCTTCCTTCCCCACACAGCTCAGCCTAGGGGGTCCCGCCCTCTTCTCTCCCCGTCCCTTCCTGTTTCTCCCCTGCAGAGGGCTGCTGCTAAGCATCACTGCCAGGCCATCTCCCCTGCCTGCCTGCCTGCCCTGCCTGCCCAGGGCACCGGTGACAGTTCCTCTTCCCTCCATGTGTTCTTCCTGCCTGACGGCTCCACTTCTGTGGCTTCAGCTCCCATCCTCACATCTCTCTCTTCCGTCCTCACTCTCAGGAGCTCAAGACTCTTCTTTGGAAACCATTTCCTGCCTTTCCGTTTCTCCTAAGATGCACGTGGTTGGAAACGCAGTGGCACTAAGGGGTGGACCGGGAGACTCTCCCTCTTGGTCCCCAGCGTCTGCTTCCTGTCCCATGGGTGGGACTCGAACTCACAGCCGTTTTGGTGCAGCGGGTGACAAGCCAAGCAACTGAGCCACTTGGCTGGCGCTGCCTGTGTATTTTAAAAAAGCCAATACTTTTTGGGTAATTTTAGTTTTTAATGTCCTACAATAAAATTGACCTTTTTTCTTCTTTTAAAAATTAATTTATTTTTCAATTGCTGTTGCTCTATATTGGTTTCAGGTGTACAACATAGTGATTAGGCATTTATATGCCTTTGAAGGGATCACTCTGATAAATCTGACACCATACGTCGTTATTACCCATCTGACACCATATGTCGTTATTACAATATTATTGACTATTTTCCTTTGTCCTGCCTTACATCCCCATGGCTATTTTTAGGGTACAGTCTCATGAATTTTAAGAGATGTATCTAAAACAACATGAACAGCATATCAGAGAGTCCCATACCCCCTAAGAAAACCTTTCTGCCTTTATAGTCAGTTGCCTCCACCCCTTCACCCCTGGCCTGGCACTCACTGCTCTGCTCTCTATCACTATATACACATAGTTTGTCTTTTCAAGAATGTTACCTACATGGACTCATAACCTTCTGAGTTTGCATTTGGGATTCATTCACATTGTTGTGTGTATCAGTAGTTCTTTCCTTTTTATTGCTGAGTACTATTCCACTGCACAGATTTCCCACAGTCCCACTCTCAGATTCACTCATCGAAGGACGTTTGGGTCATTTCCCATATTTTACATCATGACTAGAGCTGCTCCAAATCTTCCCTGCTACGGCTGCCTTTCTACAACATAAAAACATCATCTCTCTCCCTTCCCTAAGAACCATCCGTGGCTCCCCACTGCCGAAAGGGTAAAGTCAAACTTCTTTTTGGATAGAGAGGCTCTTTCCAACTGCTCTCTGCTGATGTCACAGCCCCGTCTCCATCTCCCTCATATCGATTTACCTGGGTAGTTCCAGGTCCATTCCGGGGTTCTGCCAGAATTCTTTGAGGCCCATCCCCTTTGTATCAGTGGGACAGGTGGCACATTCCAGCTAAGATAACTCAAAGGGACTATTTACAAAGGGACTAATCATAAAGTTGTGGTAGGGTCTAAGCTACTAAGGACAGTCAGGAACCCATGGCCAGCGGAGCTGTCACCACCCCTAAGTTGATAAGATAAGGAGGGGGAAAGTCACCGGAATCCAGAGGAGAGGAAGTGTGTGGAGCGGGCCTCCTTGAGAGGAAGGGCGATCTGCTGAGAAACACAGCCGGCTAGAGCAACCTTGCAGGGAGGGAGCCAAGTGGATCTCACTTTTCTCCCTCCCTCCAGTCTCCTGAGGAAGCTCCTAGCTGTGCAAATCCAATGAGAAGCCAGAGGGTAAGAGCCCTGTTGCTCTGGACCACGTGGGCCCAGGCTGCGGAGCGGAGAGGGGAGGGAGAAAGTAGATTTGGGGCTGAGGGCAGAAGGAAGAACATCCAGCCAACCTTTTTAGATGCTATTCCTCCCCACTTCCCCCGCCCCAATAACTAGTTTCTTCCATGATATTCCTGGCAAATTATTTCTCATTCTTCATGAGGTAGCTCTAATGTCACTACTTCCCCTGACTCCCTTTGGCAGAACTAACCAATTGTTTTTCATACTGCCGAGAACCCATTCCCGCATGTAATAATTACAAGAGTCAAACGGTTGATGGGACGTGGGAGGCTCAACAAGGGTGAGCCACATATGTAATTTACTTGTTGGATATGGCTAAAAGGCACTTCCCCCAAACCTGAATAGGATTGTTAGCTGCTAGACAGCTCAGGGCATTTTATTACCTCCTGTTGCCCAAACACCTGAACAGCTGTAGGCCATTCCTCTAACTGATAATGCTTCTGTATTCTACCCTTTGATACCTTACCACTTGAAGTGTATATTTCCACCTTGCCTTGGGACAAATTGTGTTGAATAAAAACTTGGGTCCTTGGTCAAGGAAGAGTCTTCAGTTCCTTTTAGCTGAAGCTCCACTAACCTCCCAATGTCTTTCAAAAATATCTTTAGTCTTTGGACTCCTTTTTAATAATCTATGCACAAGACTATACTTTCAGGGATCATTTCTATAGTTCGTTAATAATCTATGCACAGCCCCTTTCTTCAGAATGCTGAACCCTTTGTAAGGCTGGGAAAAGACTTCCGGCATTATGGTGCCCTAACTAGGAACACCAACACATACCAATTTGTCCATATTTTTATTTTTAAAATATTTTAATGGATTTTTAGAGAGAGAGAGAGAGGCCACGAGAGGAATAGAGAGATAGAAACATCTATGAGAGAGAAACATCATGGATTGCTCCTCCTGCATGCCTACTACTGGGCAATCAAGCCTACAACCCGGGCATGTGCCCAGATTGGGAATCAAACCATTGACCTCTTGGTTCATGGGTTGATGCTCAACCAGCGAGCAACACGGGTGGGGGGATGGGGGAGCTGGGCTATCTACATTTCTATTTACTTTGGAGATGGGTTGACTGGTACCCCTGAGCCTCATGGTTCAGCAGCTAGCCTACAGCTGTACTGAAGCCGGAGCACCTAATCACTCTGCACTCTTTCCACGGCCCAGAGTGCCCCCAGCAGGAGAGTGACATTGCCTTCTTGATTGATGGCTCTGGCAGCATCAACAGAGATGACTTTCAGCGGATGAAGGAGTTCGTCTCAACTGTGATGAATCAGTTCACAAAGTCCAACACCTTGGTGAGGGCCAATGGGGAGGTTAGGGAACAGCCCATGCAAGGCTGCAAGGACATAGCAACAGGCCACCGCTTTCCCCTCCTCCCTCAACTACAGACTTTGACAAATGGTCAGTCGGTCGTGGTTTTCTTCCACGAGTCTCCATCTTGCTCTATCTGGGTGAAGCCTCAGTACTCTCCAACTCTCTGTAAAGCGGGCAGCTCTGACTGTTGGATAGGGGTTGGCATGGGAGATGAAACCCCATGTCGTCTCTGCCTGAGTTCTAGTACTGAGAGCTGATGGCAGGTGTCTTTCCTGGTGGGGCAGAAAGAGGGGGGCAGTGTAGGATTTGGAGACCAGAGTGCTTTAAGATTTCTGCAGGGCTTTCTGGGAGATGGCTGGGGGGAGAGGGGGCAGTCGTGGAGGCCTCCTCTTCTTTGGTGTAATGCCAGGTCCCCGCCCCCAGTTCTCTTTGATGCAGTTCTCTAATGCGTTCAGGACGCACTTCACCTTTAAAGATTTCAAGGCTAACCCGAACCCGAATCTACTGGTGAGGCCAATCAGACAGCTGGACGGGACGACACACACGGCCACGGGAATCCGCAAAGTGGTGTAAGCTCTTTTTGCTTAGAATGTGAACAGGGGTGACCCTTTTAGCTGGGTTTTGAAGGATGAGAGGAAGGGCAGGGAGGGAGTAAAGGATATTTCTGGCTGAGGGAACAGCATGCTAACGTGTGGAGGAGGGATTGTTCATGACAAAGCAAGTTGTGAGTAAAGGTGGGAGTGAAGGGGAAAGTGAGAGGAAGGTTGGAGGGAGGCTGGAGAGATCAATCGAGGCCAGAGAGGATCCACAGGAGGTTTTAAACAGTGGGAAGATGGACCGGACCAATCACTCTATTTGGAATGTTCACTCTGATTTCTGTGAGTGTGAATGTTTATGTGTGTATGTGAGTGTGAGTGTGTATATGTGTGAGAGTGTGTGTGTGAGTGTATGTGTGGTGTACGTATGTGTGAGAGTGGGTCTATGTGTGTGTGAGTGTATGCATGCGTGAGAGTGTGTATGTATTTGTGACTATGTGTGTGACTATGTGTGAGTGTGTATGTGTGAGAGTGGGTCTATGTGTGTGTGAATATGTGTGTGAATGTATGTATGTGTGAGAGTGCATATATGTGTGAGAGTGTGTATGTATGTGTGAATATGTGTGACTATGTGTGAGTGTGTATGTGTGAGAGTGGGTCTATATGTGTGTGAATATATGTGAGTGGGTGTATGTGTGTGTATGTTTGTGTGTGAGTGTGTGTATGTGTGAGTGTATGTGAGCATGTGTATGCGTGCATGTAAGTATGTGTATGTGTGTTTGTGTATGTGACTGTGTGTATGTATATGTGTGAATGTATGTGTGTGTGTATGTGTGAGAGTGTGTGTATGTGTGTGACTATGTGTGTGAGAGTATATGAGTGTATGTGTGAGTATGTGTGTATGTGTAGAGTCAAAGATGGGGTGGGACAAAAATGCAGGAGGTAAGCTTATTAAATAAACAATTAAGCTTATTAAATATACTATATAATAAAAGAGCAATATGCAAATTAACCATCCCTTTGCTATACCCACAAACCACGTCCACCACACATGCCCACCAGTCAATCAGAGCGAGTATGCAAATTAACCCAACCAAGATGGCTATGGCCACAGAGAGCAGGAAGGAGGCTTGGGTTTCCCTGGCAATGGAGGAAGCCAAGCTTTTCACACACCCTGGTAGGCCCAGGCCTCCACTCAAGGGTACAATGTTTCAATGACAGAAGGTAAATAAATTCCAACAGAAATGGCAGCAGCCACTGAGCTGGAAGAGCAGGAGGTTAGGGTTTCCCTGGGTGAGGGAGGAAGCCAAGCTTCTGCAGCCCTGGCCGGCTCAGGCCTTCACTCCAGGCTATAAAGTTTCAATTGTAGAAGGTAAATAAATTCCAGATACCAGGGCCTCCGCTTGGGTCACCGGGGAGCCTGGCTGGCCAGCAAATCACCCAGGCCACCACACACCCCAAGGGAAACCCACCCTGATCCAAGACACTCTTCAGAGCAAACCCATACACTAGCCCTCTCTCCTATCTAATAAAAGAGTAATATGCAGATTGACCATCACCCCAACACACAATAGGCTGCCCCCATGTGGAAAAGATCCTGCCCCCATGTGGACACAAGATGGCCACCACAAGATGGCCAGCAGGGGAGGGCAGTTGGGAGAGACCAGGCTTGCCAGGGAGGGCAGTTGGGGGTGATCAACCCTGCAGGGGAGGGCAGTTATGGGTGACCAGGCCAGCAGAGGAGGGAAGTTGGGGGCAAACAGGCTGGCAGGGGAGCAGTTAGACATCAATCAGGCTGGCAGGGGAGTGGTTAGGGGGTGATCAGGTTGGCAGGCAGAAGCGGTTAGGGACAATCAGGAAGGCAGGCAGGTGAACAGTTGAGAGCCAGCAGTCCTGGATTGTGAGAGGGATGTCCCAGATTGGAGAGGGTGCAGGCTGGGCTGAGGGACACTCCCCCACCCCCGCCCCAGTGCATGAATTTCATGCACCAGGCCTCTAATGTGTGTGTGTGTGTGTGTGTGTGTGTGTGTGTGTGTGTGTGTGTATACTTTTTAATTTAAAAGGAATAATAGTTAAAAAACGCACTCTCTGCAAAAGCGTGGAGAAGCAGTGAGGGCGTTCCCGCCACTGCTCTCCCCTCTCCTGCTGCCTTCACCCCAGTGTTCGCTCCGGGAGCCAAGCCGCCCTGGGCCGGGCACAGCTGCGTCTCCCCAGCGGCTGGGCCGGCTGACCCTCAGCATCAGCCCATCTCCGCCGCTCGCACTGACCCCCTCCCCTCCCCGCAGAAGAGAACTGTTTGTCCGCAGCAGCGGCGCCCGGGAGAACGCCCTTAAGATCCTCGTGGTCATCACAGACGGAGAGAAGTATGAGGACCCCTTGGAGTACCAGGATGTCATCCTGGAGGCGGACAGGGCGGGCATCATTCGCTATGTCGTCGGGGTAGGAAACGGGCTCCCGGCTTGTTGCCTCTGCGAGGATTTCTGTTTAACCCCCCTCCCCCCGCCCCCCTTGCGATGAGCAAAAGCGAATAAAATGGGAGCGGCTGCCGTCCCCGCTGAGCCCTGTCCACGATGCTGTGTCAGAAACTCACCCAATCCATGGCTAGGACAGTGGGGGGGGTGGGGCGCCGGGGGAGGGGGGCAGTTATTCGGGTCTCAGCAGGGCTCATGGCTGGGTGCTCTCCTGCGCCCTCTGCTGGCAGGGAGCGGGGGTGGGTGGGTTGGGGGCAGTAGTAACAGGCTCTTCTGCTCCATCTCAGCCTCCAGTGGCCTGGCCGGGCCTCCTGGCCAGGGCAGAGGAACCAAGAGCCAGTGGAGATGTTGCAAGCACCGTTTCAAGCCTCTGCTTGCATCACACTTGCTGACATGCATGTGCTGACCGCAGAGATAGGAGCAGGCGGTCCTTGGCCCAGAGCAGGAGGCACAGCAATGCTTTGGGGAAATGGCTCGGGCTGGGGAATGGGTAAAGGGTCGGGACCACCAGTGTCACCAGACTCGCACGGAGCCGTGTGACAGGAAAGGGTGCCCCTTCCTAAAAGGAAAAGGCGGGGAGCCAGCCCCACAGGAGGCAGCTCAGCTCAGGACCCAGGGCGGGGTTCAGTCCCAGCTGCCCCCCACCCCCTGACAGAGAGGACAACCGCTCTCCCCTCCTTGGCAGCCGGGCCCGGGGCCGCTGGAGCTGCATCCTGGGCCACACGTGGTTTCCGGAGCTGTTCCTGCAGAACGCTCTCTGCGGGATGTGTGTGGCCTGATCCGGCCTCTGTTCCTCGGTAACAGGTGGGCAATGCCTTCGACAACAAGAAGAACCGCGAGGAGCTGGACACCATTGCGTCCAAGCCGTCTCGCGACCACGTGTTCCAGGTGACCAACTTCGAGGCGCTGAAGACCATTCAGGACCAGCTGCAGGAGAAGATCTTTGCGATCGAGGGTGAGCTCAGGTTCCGCGTTTCCGGAACAGCCCCGGCGGCAGCCCTGGGCCCCGAAACACTAGCCCCTCCGAGCCTCTGGTATCCTGACCCTCAGCGTCAGCCCTCTCCCGCTTCCTCCATTTCCAGCAACTCTGGCTCCACTTGGTCAGTGCCTTTGGAACAGAAGGATCTAGACTTGTTCCCCCTCTAATATTGCCGCTCTTGGCCACAGGCTGAATATTTGGAGGGCAGGGGAGCCAACCCCCACCCCCACCCCCCGTATTTTTCTAAAAATGTGGATGTTGCCAACATTTGTCTGTTTGGTTCACTCCTGCCTTCCCAGTGCCTCAGCCTGGTGCAGAGAGGGTGCTCGATGAAAGTTTTCTGGGTAAAAGAATTTAAAGTTGGAGAAGTTCACATGCAGTTTGGATTTATGGCTGCTCTTGAAAAGCTGGGACATTATACACCTACAGGACCACAATCCCACTTGGCAAAAAGTGGCTGGAGCCAAAGAGCCACCATCCCTTTAAAAGGGGCGGGGCATATGCTTTCCCCTTTAACATGGCTCTCACCGGAGCCTCTCTTTGGCCACCAAAGCGTGTGTGTGCGTGTGTGTGCGTGTGTGTGTGTGCGTGTGTGTGTGTGCGTGTGTGTGTGTGTGCGTGTGTGTTTGCGTGTGTGTGTGTGTGTGTGTGTGTGTATGAGTGCGCGTGCGCTTTACAGGAATATAAAACTATTTATTGACCTCTGTTTACCGGTACTTACAATCAAGGCAACAACGTGCAGTTGGGTAACACCGTTCACTACAAAGGGGCTGTTTTTCCTGCTTCGCTGAACCAGTCCCCCACATGTTGAGACAGAGCTACATGTGAGGGATGAGTCGGGCTAAAGAGAAAACAGGCGGGTCAAGAGTTTAGATGAAAACAGCTTGTTCACCACCGATTCCAGCAGGTCCTCATGGCCAAGGTCTCTAACTACCTGATTGGGCTTCCATGACAAAGTCTTACACAGCCCCTGAGTCAGGACACCGCAGTCAGCCAGGCACAGGGGTTTCAACTCCAGGTAAAGGGACGGCTCCTGAGGAAGCGGCTTTGAGTAAGCCCCTTGATTAACCCTCTAGTTTTCCCATTTGGGAGGGAGTTTGTTGGTAGTGACAAAACTTTCCTTTCAGGAGTTTTTCAAATAAACTTGCATTTATGGTTGTAGATATGGATAGAGATTCTGATATAACTGCTCTCAAATGGCCTGATTTAATCTGTTTACATTATATTTAAACTAGAGCTCTGGTGCACAAAATTTGTGCCCCCCTGGGGGGGCATTTTTAATCCCAGCGTGTGCCCTCTCACAGTCCAGGAGCCCTGGGGATGTCTGACTGATGGCTTTGGCCCCTCTCCTGCCCTGCTGTGGAGGTTGGAGGGGCTCCTGACACCCAGCTGTACTTGCCAGCTGTGAACCCAGCTTCTGGCTTGAGCAGGGGAGTGCACTGACCACCACGTGGCAGCTCCTGCATTGAGCATCTGCCCTCTGGTGGTAGGCATGCGTCATAACGACTGGTCATTCTGCCTTTTGGTTGATTTGCATATTATCCTTTTATTATATAGGATTTCCCAGTTAATTACCAATTACCTACTTAATTCTGGAGGTTATAGCCTCAGGGGAAATTTCAGTGGTGTGGTAGTGATTTATTTCTTAGGCAGCTCAGAAGCACACTTATTTGTGGATGCTGTGCTTGTTTTAGTGAATGTTTAAGAAAAAGAAAGAAACAAAAACCACTTACATATGTTTTTATGTATATACACCAAACCACCCAAATAAACAGAAAACCTGCAATGATCCTTAGGTAGGAATGGTTTAATGAGGTTCTGACTGAGTCATGATTATGACTACATTTACAAAAGCTTCTCTGGTGCAGAGGGAGACATACACCATGGTTTCTAGTTTTCTTTTCTGGTAAAGGAAGCGACTGCAGAGAGCCTTTGCCCAAAATGCCTGTGCCATAGATGCAACCATCCAGCCATTCCCCAAGTGCTGCTTCAAAGCAGATATCAAACTTGATTTTCATTAGAATATAGGTATTTCTTATGCTAACAAATAAAAACCCAAGACCCAGATTCATCTGTAACAATAACTATGACTAAACTATAGCTAGTAACTGTAACTATAACCATAACCATAAATAAACTATAGCCATACCAATACCCACTCCCATACCCATAACTATAACTATATCCATAACTATAACTCTAAACATAACCATACTCATACCCATAACTATAACCATAACTAAACTATAACCATACTCATACCCATAACTATAACCATAACTAAACTATAACCATAACCATAATTAAACCATAACCATAACCAAACTATAACCATACCCATACCCATAACTATAACTATAAACATAACCATAACTAAACTATAACCATAACCATAACTAAGCCATAACCATAGCTATACTATAACCATAACCATAACCATAACCAAACTATAACTATTATAACTATATATGGAAAGCAATGCCATTATTGGGCTTCATCTTCTGGGTAAGAATGCCAAGTTAGACTCTCCTCACCTGAAGCAATTACAACTGAGGACACTTCTATTTGCCTTTTTTGCCAGCAAAAGCCGTCTGCATCCTCTGTCTCTTGAGAAACAGTGGCTCCCACGGTCTGTGGCCCCGAGTGGTCCTTCAGGATCACACCTCTGCCAGCCACGGGGCTTAGCGGCGGCAGCTCTTCTCCCCGGTTTACTGTCATCAGAGTCCCTGCAGATAAAGATTTTCTTTTTGTGCCAACATTTTCTTTACCAGCTTTTTGAGAATGAAGAGATGCTTCCATGACTCTGGACCTTCCAAATTCCCTTCAGGTTCCCAAGCATCATCGGCCTGCGGGTCCCTCTGGCGCGAGGGAATGACCCACTGACCATTTGCTCAACGTTATTCCAATACTTTTTCCACTACATCTTCTTCAGGCTCTGTCTCTTCAGCTTGTACTCTTTCATTTTGTTTTGTTCCTATTTTTTTTCAATGTAGTTTTACTGGAGACTGTTTTTTATTGCAGACTTTGATAGTTACTCTCCACCTCAGAGCTGCTCTGGGCCTTGCCCACCTGCAGTCCAGCCCCATCCTAAGGGAGGGGTGGGGACTGGCTGCTATAGCATTTGGATTTCTAGCCTGTGTTCCAGGCTCCTCTGCCTTCTTTTAAAGAGGAAGGGAGAGAGAGAGAGAGGCACATCAATGATGAGACTCATTGATCGGCTGCCTCCTGCACACCCACTCCGGGGATTCAGCCTGTAATCAGGGCATGTACTCTGACCAGAAAACCAATAGCGACCTCCTCATTCACGTCGATGCTCAACCACTGAGCCAGCCGGGCTCTTCTGCCTTCTCTAATATGGAAAGTTCTCCTCCTCACAGGCACACAGACAGGAAGTAGCAGCTCCTTCGAGTATGAGATGTCTCAGGAAGGCTTCAGTGCTTCCATAACCTCCGTAAGTGCCCTCTGCTTCAAGGTGGGGTGGTAAGAAGGGGGTGAAGAGGCCAGGGGTTGGGGCTCTTCTCTGCGATGGGTGTGTGTCCCGACCAGCGGGAGATCAACGTGGGGGCGAGGAGGCACCTAGAAGGGAATGATAGAGGACAGGAGACACGAAGAAATGGAGGCAAGACAAAGTTCTGATCAAGCCTCAAACTTTATTTTTTGAAATGGCAGTATATACACAGCAGGAACAAAGTGGGGCAGGGTTGCCTACGCAGAGGGGTCTTTGGCAGTGTATAATTGGTTTAGGCACTGAGTGACAAGGTGGTAAGGTATCTGGCAACACAGGATTGGCTAACTGCCAGGGTGGTGTAACATTCCCTATGTGCCCCTCCCTATGTTCCAAAGGTATAACATTCAAAGGCTGGGCTAGCTATGGGGGAGGATCAGGAAGGGGAAGTTGCAGAGATGCTAAGTGGCAGGTTAATCTTTAGCTTCTGGCCAAACCCTCAGGGCACCGCATAACTTCTGCTAGAAGGAACTTAATTCTATTTTCTTAAGATGGAGTTGCTGGTCTCAACTCTGATGGCTCCCACCAGGTGTGCTTTGGGAGGCAGCTCTTTGGTGGTCAGCAGTGGTCCCTCCTCGCTTCTTTGTCAGCCCTGTTGGGTGTGCAGCATGATGAGCCTGTGTGTGCACACTGGCAAACGAATGACCACCACAGCAAGTCTAGCTAACATCTGTCACCTCACGTAGTTACAACTTTTTTTCTTGGAATGAGAACTTTTTAGATTTATTATCTTAGCAACATGCAAATATACAATGCAGTATTATTAACTATGGTTGCCATGCTATACATCCCATCCCAGGACTTATTTGTTTTATAACTGGAAGTGTGTACCTTTTGATCACCTTTATCCATTTTGTCCACTCCCCATCCCTTGCCTTTGGCAACCATCAATTTGTTCTCTGTATCTGTGAGTAGTTCTTTAGATTCTATATATAAGTGAGATAATATAGTGCCTGTTTTTCTCTGTCTCACTTTGTTCACATAGCTTAATGCCTGCCAGGTCTATCCACGTTGTCACAAATTACAGGATTTCATTATTTAAAAAAAAAATTCTTTTTTTCTTTATTGATTAAGGTATTACATATGTGTTCTTATCCTCCCTTTAACCTCCATCCCCCACTCATGCCCTCTGCTGTCTGTGTCCACTGGTTAGGCTTAAATGCACGCATACAAGTCCTTTGATCTCTCTCTCCCTTACCCCCACCTTCTCTCTGAGGTTTGATGGTCTGATCAATGCTTCTCTGTCTCCCTTCTTTTTTATGGCTGAGAAATATTTTATTGTATCTAACACATTTTCTTTTCATCCATGAACTGATAGATACTTCGTTTGCCTATTGTACATAATGCTGCAGCAAACACGGGGTGCAGCTATCTCTTTGAATTAGTGTTTACGTTTTCTTCAGATAAATACCTAGAGTGAAATTCCTGGTTTGTATAGTAATTCTTTCTTTAATTTTTTGAAAAAATTCCATGCTGTTTTTCATAGTGGTTGTACCAATTTACATTCCCACAACAGTGCACATCCTCTCCAACACTTGTTATTTTTTACCTTTTTGATGAGAGCTATTCTCACAGGTGTGAGGTGATATCTCACTGAGGTTTTGATTTTGTTGAGTCATGTTGAGCACTTTTCATGTACCTCTTGGCTATCTGTATGTCTTCTTTGGAAAAATGTCTATTCAGATGCTCTACTTATTTTTAAATCACGTTTGTTCTCTTGCTATTGAGTTGTTTGAGTTCTTTATCTATTTTGAATGTATTAACCAGTTGTCAGACATATGATTGAAGTATATCTTCTCCCATCCTATTGGTCCTTTGTTGTGCACAGCTTTTGATGTAGTCCCACTAGTTCATTTTTGTTTTTGTTGCTTTTGCTTTTGGTGTCAAATCCAAAATCAACAACAATCAACAACAACAAACCATCGCTAAGATTGGTGTGAAGGAGCTTCCTGCCTCTCTTTTCTTCTCAGAGTTTTATGATTTCAGATCTAATGTTCAAAGAGTTAATTCATTTTGAGTTGATTTTTGTGTATGGTATAAGACAGTGGTCCAGCTTCATACCTTTGAATGTGGCTGTCCAGCTTCCTCTACTCCATTCGTTGAAAGAACTGTTCTTTCCCCATTGTATGTTCTTGGTTTCTTTGTTGTAAATTAGTTGGCCACATATGTATGGATTTATTTCTGGCTGTCTATTCTTTTTCATTCGTCTCTGTGTCTGTTTTTATGTCAATATCATACTTTTTGATTACTATAGCTTTGCACTGTAGCTTGAAATCAAGAAGTGTAGTGCCTCTAGCTTTGTTCTTTCTCAAAATTGTTTTAGTTATTTAGTTGTTGGTTATTGTTTTTTTTTTTTTTTTTTTTTTTTTTTTTTTTTTTTTTTGTGTGTGTGTGTGTGTGTGTGTGTATGATTCATACAAATTTTAGGGTTGTTTGTTTTATTTCTATGGAAAATACCATTGCAATTTTGATATGGATTGCACTGATGCTATAGATTGTTCAATCCCATTCTATTCTCTTTCCCAGAATGGTCTCTTGCTGGGTGCTGTGGGCAGTTTTGACTGGGCTGGTGGAGCCTTTCTGCATATGTCACAGGATAGAGTCGCCTTCATCAACATGACCAGGGCAGATTCAGACATGAACGATGCTTACTTGGGTAAGTGGGGAGGACAGGGTCACGATGTGGTACAACTCAGCCTGATGTGTTTGGATCTCTCATAGGCTCCTGGGATAGGTTTCAAGACAGAAATTTCATAGTTTTATTTTGATTATGTTAACAAAGAGAAATGCAGTGCGGGGTCCAGTTACCCCAACCTATCAAGTGTGGGCCTGCGCGAGGGGGCAGGGTCTACAAGAAAGCACACTTCTCTTGGTATCACCTTTAGGCTATGCTGCCGAAGTCATCTCGCGGGGCCAGGTGCAAACCCTGGCCTTGGGGGCTCCTCGATATCAGCACACCGGCCGGGTGGTGATGTTCAGACAGAGCGCTGGTGCCTGGGAGCTCAACGGGGCTGTCGAGGGCAGCCAGGTGAGTGCAGGGCATGTGGGCCATGGGTGTGCACATAGAGGCACCTGGGGACGAAGACACTCCAGGGTGGCATCGCCAGGCGCCATGTGTGGCAGAGGCTTTGAAAGGCACCTCAGAGGGCCTTGGACTGGAGACTCACAGGATCAGCTCTGCATTTGAGAATGCTCTCCCAACAATACACATATAAGAGCCCTCTGACCATTAGGCTGTCCAACCTGTAGCTGTGATGTGCACTGATCACCAGGGGGCAGATGCTGAACACGGGAGCAGAAACCACAGGCATGGAGACATGGAACAGACTAATGAATCTCAGAGGGAAGCGGGGAGGAGGGAGGACGAGAAGAGATCTTATATACATACTGGAGGCTCAGTACACAGATTGTTCATGGATGGGGTCCCTTGACCTCGCCTGTGCCCTCCCACAATCCGGGACCCCTCGGGGGATGATGGAGAGCCAGTTGCAGCCTAATCCTCGCAGGCTAGACCGAGGGACCCCACTGGTGCAGGAATCCATGCACCGGGCTTCTAGTAAATAATAATACTGACCTGTACAGAGCTCTCTAGCAGTTTTCCTGTATATGGAGCTGGTATTTGAGAGTACATAATCAATATAAACACATTAGTTATTAAAGCATTGAAATAATTCCATATCTGTCAGTAAATACCTATTTCCCTGTTGTGGCCCCTACCTTGCAAAATGGTTCCTCCCCAGTACTCCTTTTTTTATTTTTAATCCTCAGCCAAGAATATTTTCCGATTGACTTTTAGAGAAAGTGGAAGAGAGAGGGAAAGACAGAGAGAAATATTGATGTGAGAGAAACACATCGATTGGTTGCCTTCTGCATGCAACCTGACCAAGGTGAAGCCTGCAACCGAGGTAGGTGCCCTTGACCAGAATCACACCCAGTATCCTTTGTCTATAGGCCAACACTCTATCCACTGAGCCAAAGTATTAATAGCTAGGGCCCAGAACTCTTTGAACTTCCCCAGCAACTATGAAATCAGGTAGGGCACCTCAGGGGACTCTACAACCTACTCTAGCTAACTCCCTGCTCGGAGCCTGAGCAGTCCTAACAGTTCCCTATCCCATGCAAAAGCAGCGTGGTTGCATCTTATGTGGTGTGTGAGGCAAAAATCTTTAGTCAAAACCATCCTTGCAAATTCCTGAAATAGGACTGTATCCATGATACTGTGCCTGAAGTTCTGTGTGTATCCCTTTAATTTTCTTTTTTGAGGTTTTTATTTTTTTATTTTTTTAATGAATCTTTATTGTTCATATTATTACAAATGTTCCTCATTTCCTCCCCCATCCATTGCTCCCTTCCACCAGGTTCCCACCCCACCCTCTGCACTTTCCCCATCCCCCATTGTCCTCATCCATAGGTGCACAGTTTATGTTCAGTCTCTTCCGACACCCCCCTCTCCCATTTCCCCCCAGAATTGTCAGTTCACTCCCCTTCCATACCTCTGATTCTATTATATTCAACAGTTAATATTGTTCATCAGATTTTTCTTAATTCCCTTGGTTTTTAGATTCACTTGTTGATAGTTACATATTTGTTGTTCATAGTTTTTATCTTTATTTACTTTGCTTCTGAAAGAACCCCCTTCAGCAATTCATATAATTCTCGTTTGGCGCTGATGAACTCCTTTAGCTTTTTTTTTTTTTTAAATTTGTGAAGCTCTTTATCTGGCCTTTGATTCTGAGTGATAGCTTTGCTGGGTAGATTATTTTAGGCTGCAGGTTCTTGCTATTCATCACCTTGTATATCACTTGCCATTCCCGTCTGGCCTTCATGGTTTCTGTTGAGAAATTAGCTGACAATCGTATGGGTGCTCCTTTATAGTTAACTACCTGCTTTTCTCTTGCTGCTTTTTATATTCTCTCTTTGTCTTTTGCTCTTGGAATTTTAATTAT